TTTAAAATTTGGGATTTCCTGATAGTTTTTCATTTCTTATATTGCTTATAATACAAAACTATACTAGCAACTATAGTTGGTTGTAACACCAAAATTATAATAATAAATAATTTTGTAAAAAAAAAAAATATTTATTTTACCTATTAAATTCACTTTTTACACAAAATACTAGTTGTTATAACAGCATTTCGGATTAATAAAATAAAATTGAAATAAATTAAAAAAAAATAGAATAGAAAAATAAAATTAAAAGACCAAAAATTAGCACAAAAACATCCAATTTTGTTGCCAAATAATTTGAATCTAAGCCATTAAATTTGAAATATTTTTCAATATAGTTTGCCAACTTATTTTCATCTAAAATTTTGTCTTAATTTTTTTTGTTTTTTTCAATATTCTGTTATGTGTTCATGGGGTAAAATAAAGATAATAGGGATGTTTTGTGTTTTAAAGTAAAAAAAAGGGGGGCAAATACAAAGTACATACAAAAGAAAAAACCAGATCTTTGGCACCATCTATTTTACCATTTTACAAAATGAAAAAAAAAATTCATGCATTTTGTATTCATTTTTAAGATCTATGTTCCCTTTTTCTTTTATTGATTTGCTTTTTAATTTTCTCAGTTGTATGTTAAAGAAAAGATCAAGAAGAGTAGGGAACATTATTTTTGGTTTCTTTAATCTGACATCATTTAATTTGTTTTTAATTTGTTCTTGTAATTTTTTTTTGAAATAATAATAAATTACTCATTTATTTCTGTCGATATTTTTTAAATTCAGTTTATATAGCTAATTTTTATTTATGGATACAAGGTGTCACAATAATTACATTCGTTTCTTTTAATATGAAGACCAAATGAATTGATAATGTTAGTATTCATTTAATTCACAATCATAAGACAAAAAACTTGCAAAATAACATGAAAATTTCCAAAAACAAAAATTAAGTAACAGATCTATAATTATTTGTAATATTCTATTATCTAACTTATCTTGAATTGCTGCGATCTTCGAAATAAGCAAGTGGTTTCTTTATTTATTTACTCTAGTTCTCGTAAATTCTTCAGTAAATTGAGTCATACCCCTAAAGCCTCTTCTGTGATCACGGATTGTCTCTTCTTGTTAAGCCTACTAAAATATAACAGTAAATTAATAGTCATACAAAATATCTAGATCTAGACTGTGTTTTTCATGTTTTTGTCAATTTTTTTATCGAAACTTACCGACCGATATGGGGTTATTTAAAAAATCTCCCAGAAAAAATGTAGGTATTGCCGAAGTCTCTCCAATAATACCCCAAATATGACATTTGTCGACTTATAAATTTTTTATAACAGGGACCTTAAGGGGTTCGATACTTTTATAAGGTAACGTGGTGATCGGATAAACTGTTTTGTTATTTTAGGTTCTCTTTTATTCAATATATAGATTTTTGAATTCGGTGTGGTATTGCAGTTGTTTAGCTTAATTATTCTAATTAATTAAATCTTTATTTGGTTTCCTTCTGGTATTCACCCTATATAATTGTGATATCATTTTAAAAAATTTAGTGGATGCTAAATTTGTTTGTCACTGGTTTCAATAAGAGTATTAGAAATCTAATTTCAAGGATTTTCAATTATTTTTATAAATTTTTACGAATAATTTATTTTTAATCAGCTGAGAACTACAAAATAAAATAATATTTAAATTTATTATTTTTTAATCGAAATTTTCTAATTTATTACATAACACAACACTAATATTTTATTTTTCATTTTAATTCATAATCTATATATTTTTTATTTTGTGTTTTTTTTTTTATTTTTGACATAAAAAAACTAAAACTTGTCGTAAAAATTACGTACCTCTGGATTTAATTAATACCAATGTGTGCAATTTTGTTTAATTTTTTTGTTATTTCGTCTAATGTTTTTGCGATTAAACCTAAATGTGTGTAAAAAAAAAAACTAAATTCAGCATGAGCAAACAAATGCATCCGCATCTGTTACTACTACAACAATTGTATTGAATAATAACACAAATAATAACAGTATTAGTAACAATAACAGTAACAATCAACAATCCAACAATAATAATGTACCAATAAAAGCATCACATTCGCGGACAAGTAGTTCATCGTCAGCGACATCAGCATCAACTTCATCATCTAATTCATCATATCAATCATCATCGTTGTCATCGTCATCTTCATTTCTCAATAGCAATAACAATAATAGTATTAATAATAATAATTCAATAAGTGGAACATCATCAAATTTAATAGGACAAAAAAATTCATCTTCTCCTCCTTCTTTTTGTTCTCCATCATCTTCTTCTTGTGTTGGTAGTGTTAATCAATCAAATTGTAATCCAACTTCAACAGCATCATCATCAGTAATAACAACAACAACAACAATAGTGACAACACCAATATCTTCATCATCATCATCATTAATATCAAATATATCTACATCAGGATCATTATCAACATTAATAAATATACCACTGGCACCGTCACCTGATTTAAAATTTATATCATTATCACCAGCTCATTCAAGACAATCAAGTTTAGGAAGCTGTAGTGGTAGTAGTAGTGGTATTGGTACTGGACAAACAACAACAACTTCATCAATATACGGCAATCAAATATCATCATCATCATCATCTTCAGCATCATCATATATATCAGGAGTATCATCAAATCCCTCAATATCACCAATATTTCATCAACATAATTCTTATTTAAATAATACTAATAATACTAGTAATAATAATAATATTAAAAATATTGATCAAAATTCTAATTTTTCATCAAATTTATTAAAACAACAATCAACAGCTAATATAACAGCAACAACAATATCAACACAACCAATAGATATAACAAAAAAATATTTTAAAGAAAAATTAATATTAAGTGAAGATTTAAATAAATTAAATAACAGTAATAATAGTAATAATAATCATCATAACAATCATAATCAACAATTTCAACAACAATCTCAACAACAAAAAGAAGAAAACATTAAAAATAATTTAAAAATATCATCATCGTCCTCATCTACATCATTATTATCAAATCCTTTATCTTTAGTATCACAGATAACAAAAGGAATCGAAGAAAAATTAATTGAAACAGCCGTTAACCAAAATACAAAAAACAATAATAATAATAATAACAATAGCAATAACCATCGAATAACGAACACTAATAAAAATAATATTGAAGGCAATTCAAATAATTTATTTGAAGAAGAAGAAGATTTAAAAATAACACCTATAAATATGCTATACCATAATCATTATAGTGATAAATTATCTATTGATACCGGGCGTCTTAGCAATTTAGAACAACGTAGTATTAGCCCATACCCAACAATACCGTTTCCTGATGAACCAACTTATGGTAGTATAAGTCCATACCCAAGTATTCCACCACCATCCCATATGGAATATGTAACAATTCAGGGTAATGTTATTAGAAGTGTTATACCACCTGGTAAGGGAATACACGTTGATTATAGCAAGGTAAATTATGATAAAAGAAAACGCTAAATTGTATTTATTATTAAATACAATGTAATTATGATGTTGTTATTAGAAAAAACAAAGTAAAAATAAAATGAGAAACTGTTATGATTATATAATAAAATTATTTACTGTTATTGTTGTTGTTCTTGGGTACCTTCTATATACATGTTTGATGGTTGATGATTATACTAAAATATTATTATGGCTTTTGGGCTTTGTTTAAATATTACTGATCATTTTTTTTTTAGATTTGCTGTTATCCTTTACTGTTCTCTGTCATTTCCTTATATATTACGAATATCTTTTAGAAACTTAAATTATACACGCTTCTGTTAAGTTTTATTAAAATAATGAAATCAAAATTTATTTTATAAATATTAAAACAAAAATTTTTCATGTGACTAACAATAGGTTTTAAGAAGATAAGAGCCCTTAGTAACAAAACCAGCATTAAACTTAACTTTATTAAAAAATTTCAATAATTATAGAAATGAAAATATTTTAGAAACTAGCACGTAGTTGCATTTATTTCTGGCTGCACCCAAAAAAAATATTTATCAAAATTTTTACTCAAATTTTTAGAACCTTATTTTGGACTTTGGTTATAAAATTTGTAATTGCCACATTTCGAATTCCATCTGTTTAACAAAAAAAATTGTAAAAAACTGAAAAAATTTTGGCATTTTTTATCTTACGTTATTTTACTCATTTCTATAATTTATTTCTTGGTATATGCATATAAAATGATATTGTGTGGTCAAAGTTTGCATTTATATAATATTATTTTAGCAATAATGACTTAAAGCTTGGTTCCACATAAAATAATTATGAAAGATCAGAACATTTTTCTTCCATCTTAGACAATAAATAATTGGTATAACAGGTTGTTAAATCATTCAACTTCATTTTAAATACAAAACATTAAAGGACATTATTTAGTGCTGAGAATAATGTGTGTGTTTATGATAAAATTTTTATAATATACTTTCAATTTATGATGAATTGGAAATTTGGGAAAATATTTTGCATAATTTGGAATATTATTTTGCATCGTATATTGTTATTGATTATATTACTCATATTCTGAGATTAATACTTTGGATTATTACTGTTATAAATTTAAATTTACTTAAGAACTAGTACGAGTATAAATTTATTGCATTTCGGTTTAAATTCAACTTGCCTATGAAATACTATATAAGAAAATACTGTATAAGAAAATAAAAATATATTTTTATACAAAATTAATATTATTTTCAAAAACATAATCGTCTAATTAAAACCAAGATATTTAAGACTAACACTATATTGCAATAATAATATTTTAATCTTGTATAACAGAACTTTGACCACCAATAAAAAAAATTATTTATTTTTAGTTATTAATTTTTTTTTTATTTAATTATTATTATTATAAATTATTTTACATTCATTTACTTAAAATCTTATTAATTATTATTGTCATTTTTATTTTTGTATAATTTATAGGTAAGCCAAGGTTATGCACCACGACCATTTAATCAAGGTCAATTGAGTCCACCATCTGGTAGTCAAAGATCACCAGGATCTGGAGCACCAAGTTGGTCACAACCAAGACCAGCACCAATTGTTGCACAAAGTCCATATGCAACATTACCAAGAACTGGTTCCTCTCAAGGTAAGATTGAAATTTTTTAATTATATTTTATATTAAATATACATCTATAATATTATTTAAATGTTTTTAAATTTTATATAATATAATAATTTATGATATATAATAATTTGTTATGTACATAAATATATATGTATAAAACATTGTAAAATATCAATATAATTAATAAAAATATAAATATGTTTCGGAATTTAGAAAGAAAGACCGGAATTTGGAAAAAAAAAAATATTTGATTTAAAAGCGAAAATTTTTGATTTAAAAAGAAATTTTTTTTGAATCAAAGAAAAAATTTTTTGATTCAAAAAAAAAATTTTTTTTTATTTGTTTTTCAAATTAAAATAAAATATTTTTATAAATTATATTTTGTAAATAATTTCGAAAGCAAAAAAAAAAAACACATTTTATAAATATTTTTAATTGTTCGCATCATTATTTTTGATTATAAAAACAATATGTGTTGTTGTAGTTAAAAATTTTCTAAATGAAATATTTTTTATTTTACAATTAATATTTTTATAATATTATATATAGAACAGAATAGGTTCCTTCTTATATTTACAAATTCGTTCTAAAATAATAATTATTGTTCTGTTTTGTTTTATATTTAAATTTTATTGTTTTTATTTTCATTTTTTCAATGTATACCAACAATTTTATATAAAAATTTTTTTTTCTATTTTTTACCTTTATATTTTTTCTTTGAATTAAAAAAAAATAATATTTATATATCTATATAAATTCATATAATGTATAATATATAATTGTATATAACATAAAACAAATTTGCTATTAAATATACTATACATATATAATATAAATAAAAACAAAAACAAAAAAATATATATACAAAATAGGACGTCATAGCTACAGTAGCCATTCTAGTAGCAACGCTTATAGTGCCAACAAAAGTCATGTAACATTTGGTCCAAATACATACTCCAGACCAGTACCAATTCAATCTGCTTATAATAATGTTAATATCTACAATAGAGGAGGTAGGAAATGTGATAGTTGAAAAAAAAACAAAAAAATAAAGGGAAAATCAAAGATAGTAAATTTTAAATTTACTATTTTATGAAATGAAAATCTAAATTCGAGAGATTGCAAATCTTATTATTTTATTTTTTTTTCGTTTTTAAAATTATGAAAATTAATAAAAATATTTTCATCGCAAATATACATAAAAGTATATATGTATTCCTCTCGAAAATAAATTTTCCAAAAAAAGAAAAAAAAATTTTATTAAAAATTATGCATTAAAATTGCGCAAAGCATTTATTTTTAATTTAAAAGCTTGCAACTGAACTGATAGGACTGTATGACTATATTATTTAATAAAAATGGCTTAATTTCATAACATTATAATTCTTGCTATTTTTTTTGTCTTCATTTCTCTATATCACTTCTATTTTCATATTATTTTTAATATAATTATTATACATAGTTCAATTATCCTTGAAAATTTTTTTCTTAAAAAATTTTTTTTCCTCTTTCATTTTCATTAAAAATTTTAAAAATAAATATTTGCATATAATTTTAATTATACTTTCCCTTATAAGTATATAATATGAAATAAAATATCAATATTTAAAATTCTATCATATAATATACATACATGCATATACATAAGCGTATAATAATTAATTCAATTAAAAGGAAAATTTATTATATCAAACTACATCTTATACATTTTCTTTTCTCCTTCTCTTTCATTTAATAATTTTTTTTATATATTATTTTATATAAATGAATACAAATTGCATAATAATAATAATATACATGCTAGTATAACAAAATAAAAATAAAAACAAATTCATTATTTCATAAATTTTATTATTCGTTTATAACATGAAATTTTAAAATTAAGAAAATATTGGAAGTATTAGGTATCTATCTATATTCATAATTCATACAAATTTATGTCATGAAACAAATTGCAATGTCACATGAGCTAAAATAGTGTGTTATATAGATTTCTTACATCATCATGTAGATTTAGGCTGATCATAATAAGGATTTTCTAAAATTAAGTCAAATACTCGAAAGTTATATTGAAAAATAAAAGTTATTTTATTCTAACAATACCCTCTCCATCTTTCCGTAGAAACACTTAAGAATTAGTGGTAGTTGGTAGTTTTTGACAATATACTCGTAGTATCTTAATAGAACAAATAATATAATGCAAAATATTGAAATTTAAGTGTGATAAGTGCAAACAAGTTGGCGTATCGTTACAAATCTAAAATTTTACATTTTTTACACTAATTATTTTGATAATTTTTGAAAAAAAATAAAACAAGAAATTTTTGGTTGCTTCATTGTAGACAATATTGCCAGCATATACCATTCAGAAAAAATTATGATTTAATTTTGGTTTTATTTCTTCTATTCCAATTCCTTAAAAAATCATCCTTATTTAAAAATAATACCGAAAAATTGTTGGAAAAAAGAGATGCATTACTTCTTTTGTGTTTTCATTTTTTTTGAGATTTTTCCTTTTTAATTTTTATTTTAAACAATAAGAACAAATAAATAAAATAAATTTACGTAGTAATTTAATATCCTTTCTCATTTTTCAATTTATTTAATATATACACCTGTACAAATATTTATATTTTCATTTACATATTTATTTTGTATTTATTTAACTCTTTCCTTTTTTTAAATTTATTTTTTTTTTTGTTTCAATTTAATTTAATTGATATTTTTTAAATTGGTATATTTTGTCAATAAAAACATGAAATGAATGAATATTTCAATTATGTAGAGTTCGAATTGTGTCAGAATATTTATTAAATTATCAGAAACCTTATGTCTATAATAATACAAACTCTTAAATTAGATTTATTAGAGTTTATTGACTGAGGTTATAATTTGTTTTTTATGCTGGGAATTTATTCATTATTTGTACAAAAATGTTAATTAACTGATCTTTTAATTAACTTCTAGGTTAATTTATTAGTATAGGTAAAATAATTATTATTTCACATATTTACGATATTCATTTTGTTAATTATCATTTTTAATTAAATTAGATTTATTTTTATTTTTTTACTCTTTTATTACTTTTAATTATATAATGGCTATTTATTTTAGGGTTAATTACATACTATTATATACCAATATTTTTATTATAATTAATATTAATAACGTATTGTATAATTGTGAATATTGTAACGTAATGTGAATTGTATATTGCAAAAAACGAAAATGGCGTGTAATTGTTAAGTATATGGTAGAACCTTTTGTGAACTTTCTACTTATTTCCATATTTTCGTCTTGTATAACATAAAAGCAGTATAATTTTTTGTGTTAATATCTATGTGTTTAATTTTTTTCCGAAATTATTCAATAATATTTTAGAAGCTTAGTTAAATAGAGTAAGATTCTAATTCCAATTATCTTTTGTACTTTTAATTCTTATTTAATAGCAATTTCGACCATATTTTTCTAATAAATTGTAATGAAAATTAAAATTTATTTAGATCATTAAAATTATTTTAAATATATAGACAATCATTCAGAAATTACAATTAGTTTTGAATTTTCTCACCCTTTTACTCACGGTGTGACAATGATATGAACGTCATAAGTTATGCGATTAATGCAGTCACCACAACTGTATTTATAAAATAAATCTATTTAGAAATTTACGTCGTCTTTCAAAATATTATATTTAATAATATTTATGAATTAATTACCTAATTTATTGAATATTCATTCCATAACTATTATAAATGTTTTATTGAAGTATAAGAATTCTCTCATATGATATAATCACAAAATACATTCACCAAATATTTTTTTTTAAATAATTACCTTGCATTAAGACTACGTCAAAGGCTCAGAATAAATTAGGTATAATACAGTAGTTTGCGTTTTAATGTTCAAGATGAAAGTACGAAACTCTTCAAATCGAACAGATGTAATCATTTTAGTACATATGTATATGTAGATAAAGTACTAAATTAAATTATTATACAAAAATAATCCAAATATTTACATATAAAATTATTAAAGTTCAAAAATTTTTTTAATTAAGTGAATATTCACTAGTATATGTACATATGTAGGTAGATTGTATAATGGCCCTGTATACACAAATTTCATATTATGTATATACATTATTTATTACCACAACAACGTGTATGTATATGGTCAAATATGCAATGAATAGGTAAAAGAACCAAAAGTCATAAAAATTTATTAAATAAATAAATAAATAAAAAGTTGCCAGCTATATTTTTTATTTATTTTTATTTATTGTTTTTGTATTCACCATATGGTTACTTTATTTTGCATTATATTGTTATAGGCGTGCTTATAAATTATTTTAATGAATTAAATTTATTGTGAAATAAAAAAAAAAAAATATTTTTAATAATTTTTTGAACAATATCGAATTTTTTTTTTTTTCACATTTATTTTTTTCGCCTATTGTTATTTAAAAATACAAAAATAATTGTACTAAAGCATATTGAATTTAATATCGAATTGAAAATTTTACAGGAAATCAATGATTTCAAATTAATAATTTATGAATATTTTATGCAATTTAAAACAAAAGCGAAACAATTTTTTCAAACTAATTAGAAATAATTAAACAATGAATATAAAAAAAATAAAAAATGGGGTTTTTTTTATCAATTTTTCCAATTGATACAAAAAATATTAATTTTACAATAAAAAAATTTTTTAATAACAATTTCATCCCAGTAAAATAAGGGTTATGTGCCCACCTTATATGAATTGTAGTTTTTACTATAATTATTAAAATAGCATTCAATTTCGAAGCAGTAAATAATTTTGTAAAGTAAAAATTAAATTATATGCATATAAATTTACATTCAAAATTGCTGTTATGACAGGAAAATTATTTTAATGTATAAGGAAATATAATATATGGCGGATGAATTGTATTCAACACTAGTGGTCTATTTAAACTCTATTAAATTTAGCTGTAGGAGGGCATAAACTCATATAATATAATGGGCATAAAACTTTACAACCAAAACAATTTTATATTAAAGAATTTTTAATATTTTCAAATTTCACGACTCAGATATGTATGTAATACAGTTACGGATTGGATGTTTGGCAAAATCTTCAAAAAAAATTGCCGTTTCTTTGCAATTATTACTTAAAAATATTCTGTAATTTCAAGCAGTTCTGTACAATATTATATTTTACTTAGGGATCGAATTATAATCTTTGAAATTCCTTCTTTTCAAATTGTAAGACATTAGGGTTTTGGGAGGCTTAAAATTGAAAATACAATAATATAAATAAATTTGTATTTAAAAAATATCAATATTATTTATCATAATTATAATAATAATAATTCAATATTCAATATTACTTATAGTTTTCCAAGCATAAGCAATAGGAATACCAAAATAAATGGCAAATAAAATTCCATAAAATAATATAATTATTATAACATATTTGAATATATTATATTATAATTAATTACAACACAACACATATATAAAAACCTATAAAATAAAATTGAAGAAAATTAAAATTAATTCTAAATTAATTAATGCAATAAAATTTCAAAAGTATATTAAATAACATAATAATTAATATAATATAATTAAACATAAATATTTTTATTTTATTTTTTTTCCTCTTTTAATAAAATCTAGATTACTATTAAAAAATTCACAACAATATTGAATTTGAATATGGCATTAAAATATGATTTTAATCATTTCAAATTTATATACAAACAAAATATACTTTTTTTTTTTGAAGTGAATCCGTCAATAGTTCCTATATAATGTATACACACATCAACACACAAAATAATAAAAAAATCATGAAATTTTTATATTTCCCGGAATTAAATTAAAATTAAATTTATATAAGAAGTAATAATTAAATAAATGCACACAAATAGCTGCTACTCATTTCAAAAATTACATACATCAATTTGTTTTTTAAATATATATATAATATATACAATTGTTATTGTTATTACAGTCTTTATAGC